GCTGGCCTGGGCCCCTGCACCCTCGGGGCCCCGACCCGCGATCCGGCTACCGGCCCTGCCCCGGATAGGGCCTGGGTTCTAGCGCTGCCAGCCGACCCTCACTCTGATTCCGGTACTGATTGTTCCGAGCCAACTGGACCCAGCCCAGCCTCTGCTCTGGCTGTTCATCCCACCTGAGACCGTCACCCCATCCCGGCTCCGCACCATCCCGCTCTGCCCCTGGGGGGGCGCTGGTCCTGAGGACCCCTAAGTGGTCCAGGTGGTGTCATCCCTCTGTCGGGAGCCCTGCCACACCCCATCCCAGGGCATGGGCATTGTCTAGCGTCCAGGCCCAGCCCTGGACTCGGACCTGTCTAACTGGAATCCGTGGCCTGTAGTGTGCTCTCCCACAATCCCCAGATCAGGCCCTGGTCCCTGCCTCAAAAATAATAATAATAATAATAATAGTAATTTTAAAAACCTAGGAGGTGGCCCCAGCTTACAGGTTTTCACATCACTTTCTGGAACCAGTTTCAGTCGGCCGGCCCCTCAGTAGCCGGCAACTTGGTGCCCCCCTTTTTAACCAGGCGTAGACACCTTATTTGACTGGCTTCCTCTCCCTGACAACCAGCTAACCTTGTCTTACCTGAGCCTAAACCCTGTTCCCACCCCAGGCCCTGACCCTACCTCAAAGTAGCCTTTCTCTTTATGCACCCACCACAGTCCCTCCACCAAATGGCCTACCTGCTGAGAAACTGAGCTGCTGTTGGCATCCCTGGTGAGACTGGCCAGACCACATCCCTGGCTTTCCTCAGCCCCTGTCCCATCGGATACCAGCAAGAACCCAGCACCTTCCACCTCGCCTCGTCTTGCCCCCACCCTTCCCTAAATTAAGCCCTCTCTAGCCCATGGTCCCAATGGCTTCTCATTTCCCGGCTCCCAATCCCCTCCTCCACAGCCTCCTGCTCTGCAGCTCCCGCTGCTCCTCCCCACCCAGACCTGAAGTTGAACCTGAGCGGAAGCTGCCTTACCCCAAGAGGGCAGGCCCACAGAGCAACTGCCACTTTTGAAACTGCTCACGCCGCCTTCTTGAAACGTTACCCAACTGGAGCAGTGGCTGAAGCTGCCACCTTTCTTCCCCAGGATGCAAGGGCCCCGCCGCCGCTGGTTCTCTCTGTGGTCAGATGCCGAGGGGAATAGGCAGGAAGTTGGCCCCATTTACCTTTCTGCGCTGCCCCTTTTAAGCAGCGTTCAGGTGGCCGTCAGCCCCCCTAACAATACCTTTCTGGCAGACACTTCGGTGCAGGGAGAGGTTCTGAAATAGACCAGGACCTAGGAGGTGAGGGGCAGCATGTGTACGCTGGGCGGTTCATCTGAGGGGCTCCCAAAACTGAGCAATTCTTGGCAGCTTCTCCGCATAGGGATCACTAATCTCTTCAGAAAACACCCTTCAGGCAACAAAATTCCCTGAACTTGCACCATTGTCTAGGGTGTGGGGATGCTACAGAGAGGAGTGGTTCTGAGCCCTGTGACCAGGGAGTTTAGGTGTCTGGACGAGGGAGGAATAACTAGCTCTGTGACTGCATTACAGGTAGTGCTCAGGGTTTAAGGAGAAAGCTGGGGACCCCTGGGGCAGGGCAGGGCAGGGCGATTTTGTGCTGAGAAGACTGTAGTGCTCAGGGTTTAAGGAGAAAGCTGGGGACCCCTGGGGCAGGGCGATTTTGTGCTGAGAAGACATTCTAGGAATGAGGAAACCAGGTAAGTAGGGGTGCGGAGCAGTTTAGAAGATGGGGTGGCTGGAGAGAGGGTCTGGATAGAAGAGAGCTTTAGATCCACTGTCGCCTCACATACCTCCCCCAGCATCTACAGGACAGCAGGGGTTGGAAGACAGTGCATGAAGTCTAAAGGGCCCGATCCTTACTTAGTAGCCTCCCACCACTAGGATATTGTAAAGTTTACCAGGCCTTCACCCTCCTTTATTCTCCCAGCAACCGAGTGTGGCGAGCAGGGCCAGTTTTATTGTCCCATTGTACGGAGAAAGAAGCTGAGGGTCAAAGAAATGGCTTCTCAAGATCACTCTGCCAAATAGTGACAGAACCGGGTGCTGCTGGTCCTCGTCGGGGGCCCTCTCCTTGATACACAGGTGCCCCTAAATATAGAATCCCATGGAGGTGCCCCTAAATGATACCCAAGTGGCATTTTGGCCTAGGGAAAGGGCTAGCCAAATGACTTCCTTTTTCTGCCCTGAGTCATGCTTCCCCAGTCATTTGGCAGGGAGAGAGGAAAGTCAATATGGGGGCTCAAGAGTTTTGATTTCCCATCAGTGTTAAACCCCAAAGCCAGCTGAGAGAAGGCATGTGAGGACAGAATTCTCCCTGAGACCAACTTGTCCGTAACAGGCAAATGAGTGAAATGAGGAGGAGAAGGAAGTGGGGCGTCCAGGAGGGTGTTAGGAAGAAGTAGGCATGGGTGCCCATCCCTGTCAGAGACCTGTGTTCCCAGAAAAGAGCAGATCCCAGGCCCAGCAGTAGCTGCACAGCAGATTCCTTCAAAGGCGCCGAGCCTGTCACTCCGAGGAGCCCCTCAGCCAACTGGACTGGGCTCCTGCTCTGTGCAAGGCCCTGGGCTGGGTACCAGTGGTGCCGGAACGAAGAAGGCCAGGCCCTGCCCTCACAGTGTCAGTCACCAAAGAGAAACAGACGTGCGGCCAGCCAACTAAACTGAAGGCTGATGTGCCTCCTAGAGTTGACAGCAGCTGTCTGCGTGGAGGGTAAGAATTCAGCAGGAGGTACAGGAAGAGAGGGCGGCCTGGGACCACAGGGGAGGCGGGGAGTAATGTGAGGTGAGCCCAGTACAGGGGCTTGGATGGGGGACAAGAAGATGCTTAGGGAGCCACAGGCTTTCTGAGGTACTGACTCCTGAGGACGATGCAACAGTTAATCTTCATGGTTACAAAAGTACTGCACAGTTGCTCTTGGGGGAAAATTCAAACCATGCAGAAATGAAAGGAAAAGCCTTCTCAATACCACTCCTTGGAAGTAAGCCAGTTGGCTGTTTGGTGTGTAACCTTCCAGAACGTTTTTCTGTGTTTATACAAACATATGTGTGTGCCCGTGTATATATCCATATGTAAATTTATTTTTCTAAAAATTAGGATTTATAGCGCATAATGCTCTGCAACTTAGGTGTGTGTGTGTGTGTGTGTTTTCTTTAACATTGTCTTGGTCATTTTCCTATGTCAGCACTCATGGATCTACCTCATTGTCCTACGGCAAGGAGGGTGGGTAATGCACGCTCATGGTATAGAATTCCAAAAGAACAGAGGGTTGCACAGTGAGTCTTCCTCCCCCACCAGTGTCCCACGTTCCCTCCCCAGCGGCAGCAGACCTGTTACCTGTTTCCAGGAGATTCTGTGCCCTTACAAATAAACATGCTTTTCCTCACTTTTGCTATATAACTGTTATACTTCATATGCACTTTTTTGCACCTTTCTTTTTTTCATTGAATATATATACATCAGTACCTATGGAGTGGTGGTCCTGCCTGCACGCCAAAAGCATGACTCAGCACCACCTGGGAATTTGTGAGAAATGCAAATTCTTTTCTTTTTTTAACTTGAACAAAATTTATTGGTTTTCCTTGATTGACTCTGGAAGAGCTCTTTGGGTTCATCTGGCCTTGTTTCCGGGCTGCTGCTGCTTTTAAAGCCCTTTGTTGCTTCTTCAGCTTTTAAACCTCCTGGTAAACCCAGTTGCACAGAGCCTTCTTTTTTTTTTTTTTTTTTTTTTTTTTTTTTTTGTTTTACAAGGGGGAAGGGAGAGAGATAGAGAGTTAGAAACATTAATGAGAGAGAAACATCGATCAGCTGCCTCCTGCACATCTACTAGGGATGTGCCCGCAACCCAGGTACATGCCCTTGACCGGAATCGAACCTGGGACCTTTCAGTCCGCAGGCCGACGCCACAGAGCCTTCTTGGTCACCCAGCTGCAGTGGGCTTTTCGGTAGTACAGAGGGGAAGGTGGACTCAATCCCCAGCTCCTTGCATGTCTTCTCAAAGACATTGTAGTTGGTCTTAGGGAGGTTTTTGAGTATCTTTTTCCTCTGAGCAATGTTCGGCAGCAGGTAGCGCTTGAGGGCTGTGTCCCTTCCATGTTTCTACATTGTGCTCTTCATAATTGCGGATCTTGATCGTCAAGGCAACATTTAGGGCCTTCAGGGCGCTGGTGTCCTCAGGGTTTGCCACAACCTTGTTCATCCATTGTTCTTGCTTGATTTTTGTGTGTGTGTGATTTTTATTGTTGTTGTTGCTTGATTTTTAGCTTCTCCTTCCGGTTCACCTTTTCCAAAGAGAAGAGTCTTTTCTCGACATCAGCCTTCTCAATTCCAAAACGTCCTGGTAATCTTTGAGCAGCGTGGAAGGGGCGGGACGTCTTCTTGGCTGGGTCGGACTAGTTCCTGGATGGCATATCCATGGCATATCCGCAGACGGCTGGAGGACAAGACCTTGGGGAGGGGAGGGGAGGGGAGGACCCCGGGTCAGATGGAAGCCAGGTGCACCCTCCACCCAGCAGCCCAAGGGCAGGGGGCCTGGGGCCGAACGAACTAGCACCCTCCACGCGCCTTCAGCATGGTGGCTTCTGACCCCAGCGGGCAGATGCGCCGGGGCCTTCGCCGTGCAGACAGGGTTACATGGGCTGAGAACTGCAAATTCTGAATGAGAAACTCCGGTGGGCCCAGCAGGCTGTTTTCACAAGCCGTCCTGGTGAATCTGATGTGTGTTCAAGTGTGAGAACCTTGGCTTAGAGTCCTCCGTGGTTTGTTGAGGTGTGTCAGCCCTTTGCTGTTACAGGCCAGGCTGACATCTATCTCATACAGTCATTTCACACTTGTCAGTGTATCTGTAGGATAAACTCCTTGAAATGGATTTTCTGGGTCAGAGGCAAAGTGTTTTAACTTTACCAGATTGTCCACCAAAGGGGTGATTCCAGGTTAGACACCTGCCACCAGTCCCTGGCTTCCTGTGTAATGAATGACGGCTTAGTAGTCCGTTGGCGGAGATGTTTGCGCAGGTATGTGCTACAGTCAGGTCTAAGCTTCAGAACGCGCTCCTGGCCGGGCAGTAATAGGCAGGAGGGAGAAAGGAAAGAGGCTGGTGAGGTGGTGGGAGGCAAAGGGTTGGGGTGCGGGGTTAGTTCAGGAAATGCTTAGGAAGCAGAATTGTGGCCGGATGAGTGAGTGGACGTTGTAAGGAGGAGAGAAGACCCTCAGTCTTCAGCTGGAACGGCAGTCACAGAATGGTCCATGGGTTCCAGAGCGTTTCTAGGGCCTGGCTGGCAGCTGTATCCCAGAGCCTGAGCTGAACCAGTGGCTGGAAGCCGGGCATCTGTCTTTCCTCACTGCTTTTGCTTCCGCCCTGATAACGGAACATCCAGAATGTCACTGGAAGCTAAATTTATGCCTGCCTCTTGTGTCAGCTCCCCCCTCCCCACTCTCTAATTATGTTTCATGTGTCAGGAGCTATTGCATTCGCATAGGAGTGTCTGGTCTAAAAAAATCCAAATTGAATTAGGAGAGAA